CTCCAGGCTATTTGGCAGATTGCATCTCCCTGTATGACCTGGCTAGGGTTTGAGGTCATCAGGAGAGGCCCTTCTTCCAATCCCAGCACCACTGCAAGCAAAGTTGGTAGGGATACAAGACCCAGCTTTTTTGGTAGCTGCCCACGGACTCTGGAATTTCCTTCCCAGAGCAGCAAGAATGGCCCCATCCCTGTTGTTCTTCCAACAGTAGGCTAAAAACTTTTTATTCAAGGAGGATCTTAAGACAGAAATTGACAACTGTTTTAGTAGCATGGTTTTAATACTTTTTAAATTTTATTTTATAGTTGTAGTACAATTGCATTGTCTAATAGTTAGAGTAACTTAATTCTGTTTTAATATTTATGTATTCAACTATATAACTTTTAAATTGTTCACTGCTTTCGGTCCCAATGCTAGGAAAAAAAGAATGAATCATCCTCATCCTCATAATCTGTTCTTTTCTGAAGTCTAGTTCCTTCAGTGCATTAAACCTTCTGAATCCAGCATATGTGATCAACTATCTTATCCTCTACCCAATGAGAGGCACCAAGTTCAGAAATGGGGACCCATGTGTGTATTTCTGTAGGCGCACATGCTACCATATGACTTGTGGTGTGCAAATAAAGCAGATAAATGACCAAAAATGAAATGGAATAAAAATAGACAGGAGCAAAAAAAAAAGAAAGAAAGAAAGAGGAAGGAGTGTGTAGGAGAGGAGGAGAGCCTGTGTAGTGTAGTAGTAGTAGTGGTTTGGGCATTGGACTATGCATGAGTTTGAATCTCCACTCAGCCATGGAAACCCACTGGATGACCTTGGGCAACACACACTCCCTCAGTCTCAGATGAGGCAATGGCACCCCTTTTCTGAACAAGTCTTGCTAAGACAGTGGTTCTCAACCTGGGGTCCCCAGATGTTTTTTGCCTACATCTCCCAGAAATCCTATCAGCTGGTAAACTGGCTGGGATTTCTGGGAGTTGTAGGCCAAAAACATCTGGGGACCACGGGTTGAGAACCACTGTGCTAAGACATTATCTTTAGGTAGATTTCCCCTTGACATCAAGTCTAGTCATATCCGATTCGGGGATGGTGCTCATCTCCATTTCTAAGCCGAAGAGCTGGCATTATCCATAGATACCTCCAAGGTCATGTGGCCGGCATGACTGCATGGAGTGCTGTTACCTTCCTGCCGGAGTGGTACCTATTGATCTACTCACATTTGCATGTTTTCCAACTGCTAGGTTGGCAGAAGCTAGGGCTAACAGCAGGAGCTCACCCCGCTCCCTGGATTCGAACCACTGACCTCTCACTCAGCAAGTTCAGCAGCTTAGCGATTTAACCCGCTGCACCACCGAGGGTTCCGACATTATCTTAGAGTTGTCATAATTCATAAATGACTTGAAGGCACACAATAAGAAAATCTAAAATCCAGGAGATAGTTACCAACTCGCTGACAAAAAAACACCAGTCACCATTGGGAATATAATTTTCCCCAGAGATGCAAACTGGGTTTTTGCAGAAATCTAAAAAATATTTCTTACCAGGCAGAGCCTAGTAATGAAAAGATATCCCATCTAACTACAAGACATCATGATAAGAGCTGTTCGACAGTGGGATATGCTGCCTCAGAGTGGAAGTTTTAAACAGAGACTGGATGGACATCTGTCAGGAGTATTTTGTGTTTTCCTGCATGGCAGGGGGTGAGATTGGGTGGTCTTTGTGTCTCTTCCAATACTGTGATTTTGTACAAGGTGTGGTGAAGATCAGAGTATTTTGATAGGGAAGTTGAAAAACAGGGCAATGAGCTAGAAACAAGAGCTAACAGCTGTGTATATTATTAACATGTGTTTACTGTGGGAGATGACATCAGCATGTTCTTGCCATATTGCAACAAGAAAAGCCATGATTGTGAGCAGAGTAACATCCATAAAAACTGTTCACGCAAAAAAGAGATCAGTTAACAAATGCTTTGTGCACTTAAATCACAGTGCATGCTGTGATTTTATATGTGCAATTGAGGAATAGTGAAGCTTTATGAATCTTAAACATTAGCCATACCAGAAGCTAGGAAAGCATTCTGTGGCCCAGTCAACCTACCTGGTAGCTTGCCAGATTCAGTCGTGCGAACTGGAGACTACAGGATTAGAACATGATACTGTGTGTGTCTTTCTATTTGAAGTTACAGCTTCAAGAGCCGTCCTGTTTTGTTTCATGGCAAAGGTTGGGGAACTATGTTGGAGCATGTTAGGAATCAATGTGTGCGTGTGTGAACTGTAAAATAAGATACATGAAGCTGATTAGTTGGGCTATGTCCGGGGCACAGGCTGAGCCTGGGACTTTTGGATACTCTTACATTTTTATTGAGGCTTCAACTATGCAGGTGTTTGGAGCAGCAGAGTGAAAGAAGCAGAGAGAGACAGAGTTTGGAGTGCGCTCTTGCTCCATGGGTTGCTGAAGGAGTCTATCTATATGGACAAAGAAAGACAATTTTAACTCTTTCATAAAAGGACATTATGTGAGTTGATACAACTGACCACATTGTATATAAGTTGTTCTGAACTATGAAGAGTAAACTACTTGTTATTTATTGTTCATCTCCATGGCATATTTTCTTTCTCTGGCAAGGCAGTGTGTGGGCTGATCAAACGTGAACTACATGTGATTTATTTTACATTATGCCACAACCTATTCATCTCATCCCTGCCATGTTAAGATCTGCATTTTATGATCTACATTTCCATAAACAAACATTACCTTTATGAGTTCCAAACATGGCTTACTTTCTTTTAGGTCTCTTAATTATCAAAGCAATGTTGAATCATAGCCCTGAAAAAGATCACAAAGGCTATCCAGTCCAGGCCATCCAGATATAGAGTGCATCTACACTGTAGAATTAATGCAGTTTGATACCACTTTAACTGCCATGTCTCAGTGTTGTGAAATTGCATAAGTTGTAGTTTTACAAGGTCTTTAGCCTTCTCTGCCAAAGAGTGCTCTTGACTCGCTAAACAACAAATACCAGGATTCATAATATTGAGCCATGGCAGTTAAAATGGTGTCAGACTGCATTAATTCTATAGATACACCTATACCCCTGCAGCATGTGATGGAAAAAGTTACTGTTTGGGCCTACAATTCTTCCCACCTTTAACATAGTCAGTGGCTATGTTGGCCAGGGATTCTGGTAGTTATCATCCCCAAAAAAACTAACTTTTCCAAGTTCTGGTTTTTCATAGCTAGCAAAAATGCTGCCAAGATACTATATAACTTGCAACTCTTCTGTTTCATGTAAAAAGAAAAGATGACCCTGGTGAATCGACTTGGATTTTCTGCTCTAATACATTCACAGACCGGATCAGATAATAGACACTATGCTGTATTTGTCAGCTGTTCTCATATTGCTAAAACAGGGAATATTATTTATACCACTGTACTTTAAGCCAGCTCTTAGAGACTAGACCCTAGCTAAAGCCAGCTTCTTTGATTGACACATGCCAGTATGTCAGGTTCCTATTTATGCAACTTCAAAAACACTGTTTCCTTACCTGATGTCATAAACATTATCTGATTTGGCTTCTTTCCTGAAGAGCTTTACTGGATGGATCTTATACTAGATGGAAAAAAATAAGATTAATTTTGTCCTTCTCTGACATCTTCTTCAGCAGCAAATTCTGATCTCTTGTAAAACAAATATAGAAGTCATATAATTAAAATTACATGTGTTCTTAATTATTGTAAATTGAAGAACATCTGTAGTAGTAGTAGTATGCAACTGAGAAATCAATTGCGAAGAAAAATAACTGCCTTGGAGGGTTCTAAAAAAGTTTCGAATCATGGATATAAGTTTCTTCCACATAAGCCTTCCTTGTCTATAAATCCTGTATGTAGGATTTATATTCAGTTTTACATGTAAATGCCTACTTAAATGGTTTTCCATGGTTTATGTTTGTATGCTGATCATGTTAATCCAGCATGTTGAAAGGTGTATATTAGAATTTGGTGATGGAAGGGAGGGATGTAGCATATTCAGTTTTATCCTCTGACTACTTATTCTCCAAAGGAGCCGACGTGGTTAGTTTCAACCCAGTGAATTTATCTTGTTTGGATGCCCTCATGGATGGTTTGATTATCCTCCTTTATGATGAGGCCTTTGTGATGAAATTGTCAAACTGCTCAAAAGTAAAATCTGACTCATGGATTTCAATGAAACCTCTGAATATGACAAGTCTATTTTCATCACATAGTTATAAAATCCCCACCTGTCTCTCATCCCCACCAGTTACAGGCATAACCGGTGGGGATGAGAGACAGTGCCTTCTCGGTGGTGGCCCTTTGGTTGTGGAACTCCCTCCCCAATGTGATCAGGTCAGCTCCCTCCCTCCTGACATTTAGGAAACTACTTAAACGTGACTTTTCAAGCAAGCATTTAGGGAGTGAGATGATGTAGTCAAGATAACTTCGGAGTTGGTGCAATGTCGAACATTCTATGTTTTATGTTTCTCTGTGTCTGATGTTTTTAGTTTATTGTTTTTTGATCTATTGTTATATGCTATTTTAGTTATGTGCTGTATTTTATATTTTGTGAGGCATTGAATTTTGCGATTTGCTGTGTTGTGAACTACTTTGAGTCCCCCGTCCCCCAGGGATTGAGAAAAATGGTATATAAATGAAATAAATAAATAAAATCTTATTGGGCCATAGTACACTGGAGCGGAGCAAGACCTAAATCTGATTGCCACTTTAATCTTTTGTCTTGTATGCGCAATCTGTTCATGTTAAATGGCAATATTTTTGTGTTGAATTTTGTCAATTGGTATTTTAATTATAATGATGGCAATCGTATTTATTACTTTTGTATTTTAAATTATACCCCATTTTTCAGCTGTCTTGAGGTTTCTGTTCAGATGGGAAGGCTAGGTAAAAAAGTGTTTCTGCAAATGCAATTTTTAATTTTTTTATTGTGGTATCCAAGTATATTCAAATTTATTTTTCCTTTATCCAGATCAGGATGAGGTCACGAAATCAAGGTGGAGAAAGCTCATCCAGTGGGCAGTTCTCTAAGTCGAAGCCCATTATCAACACTGCAGAAAATCAAAACCTTCAGGAAGATGCCAAGAAAAAGAACAAATCTAGTCGCAAAGAAGAAGAGTTCCCAGGCTCAGGAACAGTCAAGAAGCACAGCAAATCATCAAGCAAGAAATCAATAGAGCTTTCCAAAGAGGATCTGGTCCGCCTTCTCAGTATAATGGAAGGAGAACTACAGGTATTTCAATATTTATTTATTTATGTATTTATTTCTTTTAAATTGACTTTTTGTGACCAGGCATAAATAGGAGACATTTGTTACTTCACAAGAAATGTCTTGTGTAATTCTAGTATTCATTCTTATCTGCTGCCATGTCGCCTTTGACATATTGTGACCCTATGAATGCGACACCACCAAGGCCCTCATCAGATGGGACTATTTTTGTGTGGTAGGATGTTTCCATCCTGTTTTGGGGATTGAGCCCCATACCAGCCATCATGCAACATTGTGTGACTTCTAGCGGAGGCCATGCCCCTAACCGGGGTAGAAGCATCCTTGGATGCTTCTCTCCCAACACGGGAGCCTGCCTGTGCTGTGCTGGCTCCAATAGAGCCAGCACGGATCGTCTCCAGAAGGCTGATGCTTCTCACGTGTGATGGCTGCCCCCTCTGTCCAGCAGCAAAGCGGGACGCTTTGTTTGGCCTTTGTGATGAGGTCCCAAGTTGCCCAAACATTAACAGCCTTGCTCAAGTCTTGTAAGTTGGTGGCCATGGTTTCCTTGATTGAGTCTGTCCATCAATAATGCAGTCTTCCTCTTTTCCCTACTGTCTTCTACCATATCAAACATTATTGTCTTTTCTACTGAATCATGTCTTCTCATGATGTGGCCAAACTACAACAGCTTCAGTTTCATTCTTTTGTTGTCCCTGAATATAATACCCTTCAAATGTTCTGTAGTACAACTCTTATCTTCAGCCAGCATAATTAATGTGGCTGTGCTGTTTTGAGATGTTGGAAGTACTGTAGTAGTCCAACATCTTTGGGAGTGCCAAACTGCAAAGGTCTGCGCTAAAGAAATTCAATGACAGATGGGGTGTCTATTTAGCTACAGCTGCTAGCTGGAGCACTTGGGGAGCTGTAGTCCTCCAAAGTTTTGTAGAGTCTGGTTGGGGATGTTTTAGTGTTAAGCAGCAAATTTGATACTACACCAATATGCACCATATTATCATTTAAGACATCATCACATAAGACTTCTTTGGATGGAATGAGGCACTCAAAATTGTTGTCTTCTTAACATACAGGATTTCCCAATATATTGCAATGCTAGTTGGCCTTCTCAACTCTGTTGGGATCTTCTTTGATTAAAAAGAGGATGACTTTGTATATAAAGTAACATTAGCATGTATAATCAGTAGAATAATGGCAGAAAAATATAAAACTGACACTGCGTTAGAGTGTGTGAAATGTGTTCTTCAAACATGGAAAACAAAACCATACAAATCACCACAATTTATAGGAAAGGCCAGACCTAAGAAAAAAACAAAGCAAATACACTGTGATGTGTCATTCTAAATATCATGGGGAAAAAACAGTGCTATCAGTGATGCCAAAAATCAGAGGCCTATTTTTGGTTTTTCCAGTAAATGAAATATCTGATCCTTGGTACCCAGGCTCAAAGTTGACAATATGCATGTTTCCTCTGGCAGGAAAATATTCCATCTCTGTTTTCCAGACTGCAGCTATATAAGCCATGCCAGTTGTAAATGTTTTCCAATCAGAACACTGAAAGGAAAGAGAAGCGCATACACCTACCTGTTTTTACCCTTCCTTCTGCTATAAAAAGCACAGCTTAATATACTGAATTTCCAAGCACAATCCTTTTACAAGAAGTAATTGTATTCTGATATGTGTAGAGGTTGAGTTGGATTCCTCAGCTCTTTAGTTCTTTTGATTGGGAAACAGGTTGCCCCTTAGGCAATGTCTTTCTGTAGATGCAATGAGAAATGGCCACAGCAGTGAACACAGACAATTTTTGTGTATGTTTCAATAGTATGACGAGATGGGAGGTGTAGAACTTTTTCCTATGTGACCTACATTACCAGGGTTCAGGGTTGGAGTCAAGACTGATGGACAGTGCTTGATTTAGGACCAACGAGGCCCTGTGCTAGTAAAGTTATCAGCCTCCTTACTTGGGCCCTGGAGGAGGTTGTCCCAGTAAGCGTACACTGCCGTTGGTGTACACTGGGGAGTGGGCTGAAGAAGAAGAAAAGACTTGGTACTACATGTAGCTCAAGGCCCACATTTCATCCACCCCAACTAAGGGGATGTTTCCCTCCAAGGCTGAGGACCACCTCTGTACTTAGTACACATTCCAGTCCAAGGTAAAATAGCAAAGCTGTTTATTGAAGAATATATTTGAGAAGGAATTCAGCAAAAATAGTATAAAAAAACCAAAGTCCAAATATCAGGAATAATCCACAGAAATCAAAGTACAGGAGTAGCATAAAAAAAAAACAGGAATACAAAAGCAGAATAAATCCAAAACAAATTCAAAACTTGGAATCATGAGACATGAATAAAAGGAAACATGGAACTAGAAATCCCTTGATTTGACCATAGATCTTTGCTCAACACCAATATTGCCTGGACTAATGGGCCCATCTGCTGGGTTAGCTAATATAGAGAGAAAATCATGCCTTCTCCCCTGGGAACCTGATAAAGATTTCTTGTCTAATAAGCATCTTGACCTTCATACTCTCTCTTGGGAAGCCCTATGTTGACGGAACATAAATCTCCTATATAACTCCTCATTAAACTGTCCACCTGGACTTTTATTTTCGTGCTCTGTGCTCAGATCTGTTCCTTACTTTGCTTCCCTAGTAAACCGCCTTTCAGGAATGTGGCCTTCCAACACAGACCACTCATTTTCGGGGCTTAAAATCTCTTGCTGGCTTGCAGACCCAGAATCCCCAGTGTCATCAGAATGACCAACATTCCCAGAATACCCAGATAGATCAGGTGCAGGCACAGTCAAAGGCTGAACTACAACCTGGGAGTTCTAAGTTTTAGTCCTGAGAACGGATCCTTAATGGTTACATCTCCATCCTATAGAATCCTGGAATTTTTGGAATCTGTATTTAAGCCAGTTCCTTAGAACTGCATTAACTCTCTTGTATTTCCCTGAAGTCCAGCAAAGAATCCTAAATAAGGCACAAAACTGCACATTCCAGAATTCAGCAAGATGGAACTGTGGCAAGTTGAAGTCGAATCAAACTGCTATAGCTGTGCAACCTGAGTCAGGTTATGCCAGTCACTATTTTCCTTAGGCAGACCTTTCTCACAGCTTTGCTGTGAAGATAACTTAAGGAGGAGAGTGGGAGATCTTCCGCACAAGGTTTTATAAGGATAACATAGGAAGATGTGGATAACCATATATGCTTCCATGTGTCCTCTGAAGGAAAGACAAGATGTAATTGGTAATTTAGCAATTATTTGATACAGGAATAATTATCTAGTACTGTGCAATGAAATACAAGAATCAGAATATTTGTTCATATTTAACTGTGCAAAATTTTAGGAAATTTGTGTATCCAAAAACAAGGAAGAGAAAGTTTGACTTTTGAAATTAGTAGCTGGAGAGCTGACCTTCACATGGGCCCTGTGTGTTCACAGTGTGTTAGGTCATTGCAGTGTAGATAGAAAAATGATTTGAATTGCTGGCCGTTTTAGTTAGAAACAATGCCTATGCAAAATACCGTACATGTGCTGTCAGAAGATAATTTAGCTAAAAGAAATACAGGAAAATATTATAATGCTCTTATGAGAATCTATTTTGTATCTGGGGTTCAGGCTCCACCTGTTGGTTAAAATGGAACCAGTACAATTTAGCTACCAGTAATTCTCTGGTTGATAATCCTGTTTTTCTTTCTTTCTTGGTTTGTATCATTCAGTTAATATTCAAAGGAAAATCATAAGAAATGACAGAACAATGGGCTTCTGAACAGAACAGTTACATTGATATTCAAACATAAAGAAGGGATGTCATAAGACAAATTCTTTTCAGGCATCAACACCTTGATAGCACTTTGCAAGCTGACAATTTTGAAATGCTTGAAGCATAAGTGTTTTGGTGTTTTTTTTCCAGCAATAGGAATATCTTTATTTGCATATATAATTAGACATATAGGAGGTGGGATACAAGTTTAAACATAAATTTCATTTATGTTTCATATACACGCCAAAGTAAGGTATACCTTGTTAGTTGCTTGTGACAGGTAGTAATATTTCATATATTTTCAATTTTTTAAAATCGTGTCAGAAGCTACTTGAGAGGCTGCAAGTTGCTTCTGATATGAGAGAATTGGCCGTCTGCAAGGATGTTGCCCTGGATATTTTACCATCCTGTGGAAGGCTTCTCTCATGTTCCCGTAAGGGCAGCTGGAGCTGACAGACGGGAGCTCACTCCATCTCACGGAGTCGAACCACTGACTTTCAGTTCAGCAGTTCAGCCAACACAAGGGTTTAACCCATTGTACTTCAGGAGATGAGTAAGAGAAAATACTATGTATCTCTTCCACCCATTTTTTCTAATGTTCTGCTAATTGAGTGAGACAAAAGTTTTATAACTTTTAGAGAGATAATCAACTTTGAAACTTTGATTTCTGACTTAACCTATCTGTCTGCTATATTAGAAAAAAAATTACTCTATAGAACTGGTAAATTTGTTCGTTGTATCCAAAATACTTGCGGCAAAGAAATGAAAAAACGGAAAAATAAAAAAACACCAAACAAGGAGGGGATTAAAAAGTTGCATCTTGTTACAATGATTAATCAAATAATAAGCCTGAAGCAGTACTAGGTATGTATCTATACTGTAGAATTAATCCAGTTCGACACCACTTTGACTCCATGGCCCAATGCTATGGAATCCTAGGATTTGTAGTTTGATGACGCTTCAGCACTCATAGGCAGAAAAGGCTAAAAATCTGGTAAAAGCACAGTTCCCATTGTTTCATAGCACTGAGCCATGGCAGTCAACATGGTATCAAACTGTGTTAATGCTACAGTATAGATGCACCCTTCACTTTAACAAGACCAATATTATTTATTTATTTATTTATTTATATCCCAACCTTTTTTCAGATTAGAATTCAAGGCAGTTTGCAACATTTTAAAAGACATTGTTAAGGTGCAAATGCTTAAACACAACTGAACAATAAAAAACTGCACACAGGTGC